TATGGCGCGAGCGCATTATCTCGCCATTAAGCGTAATCTGTGATAAAATCAAACGCGCCAATCGAGTATTTATTACCAATGAGGTGTCATTGATCTCCCTTGTAAGTAGATTGAGCAGCGATTCACCCAAAATTGTAATAGGTGCATTGTTGGCCAAACGAACGCGATGATAGTATTCGCCTAAAAGTGTTATGGAGTTGTACAGACGATTCTTGTCATGCTCTCGGTATGCGTCTGCATTGATGAAATTTGTCTCCAGGATCTTTAGCATAGCACTTCGGACCTTTGTCTCTTTCATAGCCAACGCATCGAAGTTCCGGGATGAAAAAAGTAGAGCAAATTTCAGAGCAGTGTCTCCATCGCCTAATGCTTTATCGTTCATATACTCCATGGACTCACTGCAATATAAAATAAGAAAATTATTAATATACTATTTTTTTGAGGCATATAATATATAAGGAAACAAAACTAATATTGCTCACAATGAGATATGTATTTTTGAAAAAATGGTCTATACGGTATTTAAGAAAGTTGTAAATTGTGGTAAAAGAAACATGCTTAGCTCTGTGTGCACCAATGTTTACATGCATGTATTAGTAAATGTATGTATGTATACTTATTATTATTATTATTATTAGTATTATTATTATTATTATTATTATTATTATTATTATTATTATTATTATGATTATTATTATTATTATTATTATTAGTATTATATTATTATTATTATTATTATTATTATTATTATTATTATTATTATTATTATTATTATTATTATATTATTATTATATTATATTATATATTATTTATATATCTTTTTATATATTAATCATCAATGGACTTATACACACCACAGCATCGATTCGTCGCGAATAATGTTGTAGAAATCCGTTTCTATGGCCTTTATCTTCCTGTTCAACAATATACCATTATCCTCCAGATCAAGGCCCTTCATCATGGCAATGATGTGGTCGTAGACACAACCACCTGTTGGTATCATATAGTTGACAGGACCTGTTCCTACTCCCGCGTTCAGCATATTACAGGTCATAACGTCGCGCAAAGTCTGCACCTCGCTGCCAGCACTGCCAATTCCATTGCTGTTCGTACTAGCGTTGTTTAAATTATTGTAAGATATTGTGTACTTGGTGCCATTGCTGCTGCTGCTACTGTTGTGATTGCTAACTATATTAGCCATTTCTTGATCGGAATTGTTGCTGTTTGTGTGCGTTGTGTTTGTGAAGTTCCGTTTGTTTGCGTTCTCCACCAATGCCTGCTTATCCGTTCTATGCTACTGCCTCTGGCCGTAATTATGAATAATACTCGTAAATGTTCCTTTTTTTAAATAGGTGATGAATAGAGTTAAAATGCACAGATCTATGAGTACTTAATTAAAATATTTTTTTTTTTTTATAAAATAATACCGTGTGTTGGAGTGCGAATTTTCCCGATTTTCCATTCGTATAACTAATTTTAGTCCCAGATGCCTTATGTGAATACGCAGAAAATGTGTATTTTGGAAATTCCCTCCCTCCGCGGGGCCTCTAGAAATTGAGGCTCTAACCTACGTTTGGGCAGAGACACAAACTTATATTGACTATCGAACTCAGTTGAAAGTTGCTTAGTTAACTTTTGCAATTTTAAAAATTTATTTCGCACGTTATTACACACGTTAAATTGGATGACAATGCGTACAGGGCAGGACCACCTCAAACCACCACAGCCTTTTTTAGGTGAGTAAACTTTGTCGAAGTCACGCCACCTAATCGTGCACATTTAATATGCATAAAATTCTCGCACAACCAACACAAACCGAAGTTGATCAAAATCAATTGCATCTTTAATTGTGCAAGACATTGTAGGCAGAATAAATATAAGGATGAATGAGCTTCATTGTTTTTGCGACGAAGTGTCCTTTTGCCGCGGGGACCCGCCGCCCTGGAGCCTTTTCTCATTTCTTCGCGGACAAATAGTTCATGTGTTTTGTGGTTTCTTGGGCATTCCGAACTATCTCGGTCTCATCCTTGGTGCTTCCCTGGGCCTGTCAGTTCTCAGCATTCGGTTGGTGTATATGCGGCTGGGAACGTCGCGTGAAATTGCGATGACGCTGACGATATGATGCATTCGACTTTCCATCGTACATTTGTGATTTTGGTGATGAACTGCAACTATTTGACTCGTGCCCACTGGAGTTGTAGGCACAGTTCTTATCCTGATAAGAATTGTTTATGGACGTATTTTAGCGACGCCACGGTGAGTGATGTTGCTATTGCTGCTGCTTTTGGAACCGTGGTGACTTATCGTACGTATTACGATTGTGAAAGCGCCCTCCGCGCTTATAATTGCCAGGCTCATAATTGCTAATATATGGGCGTTCGCTGCGATCATCCCGTTGGTCCCAATTGGAGTTCACAATGCTGCTGTAATTGTTGCTGCCAAGATTCCTCTCATAACGTTCCTGGGAATGCTTACGACGATCGTGTATGGTATATAGACGTAAATTACCGCCATCGCTACGCACGATGTGGTGGTCGTCATCGAAGCTGGCGCTATAGCGACGTTGTTGGTTGCTCGAACGTCCGTTTTGATTATCACCATCGATGGGGCGATTAAAACGAGTCTTGCGCCAGCTAGGTGAAGGCTTAGTCTTATCACGATCTTCACTGTTTCCCACAGACGCGTATTGATCGAGTCCTTCGGAGCGGCTAATAATTTGAACAATAAAAATGTTATTTTTAAGAGAATGGTTTCCACAATCGCAACACTTACTCTTCATTGGCCACCTGAGGGTGTTTCAAAGGACGCGGTGATGTGCGCGGCTGATATGGGCGTCGGCTTTGGCGATTCACGCCTCCTTCGTTACTTGAATTTCTGTTGCTTTCTCGTGCTTGTTCGTGCTCGACTTGACTGTAAAGATCACCACTACCAATATCCGCCTCGCCAAAACCAATATCGCAGAGCGAATCTTCACAGACTTGCTCGATCCATTTCTCAAAAGAATCGTGGGTGGACTTATTTGTTTGGCTGGCATTATCAGTGTTACTTCTCCCATGTCCTTCTATATACGCACTTTGAGACTCTTGTTGCTGCTGGTACTGAGTCTGCGGCTGCACAGCTACACTATTGTTATTAATACCATCGTCTTCCGCACTCTCAGCAACCAGGTAGTCTGAGTACATTGCCTCCAACTCGAAGCCAATGTGCTTAAAATGGCTGTAGAACAAATCCAACACCATAAGCAGCATAGCTTTTACTTTAGGCGTTAGCACCGGCTTGCATTATCAGGTGGCGTCTAATATGGTACAGTAGTTGGTCAATTTCTACCTTATGGCGCGAGCGCATTATCTCGCCATTAAGCGTAATCTGTGATAAAATCAAACGCGCCAATCGAGTATTTATTACCAATGAGGTGTCATTGATCTCCCTTGTAAGTAGATTGAGCAGCGATTCACCCAAAATTGTAATAGGTGCATTGTTGGCCAAACGAACGCGATGATAGTATTCGCCTAAAAGTGTTATGGAGTTGTACAGACGATTCTTGTCATGCTCTCGGTATGCGTCTGCATTGATGAAATTTGTCTCCAGGATCTTTAGCATAGCACTTCGGACCTTTGTCTCTTTCATAGCCAACGCATCGAAGTTCCGGGATGAAAAAAGTAGAGCAATTTCAGAGCAGTGTCTCCATCGCCTAATGCTTTATCGTTCATATACTCCATGGACTCACTGCAATATAAAATAAGAAAAATTATTAATATACTATTTTTTTGAGGCATATAATATATAAGGAAACAAAACTAATATTGCTCACAATGAGATATGTATTTTTGAAAAAATGGTCTATACGGTATTTAAGAAAGTTGTAAATTGTGGTAAAAGAAACATGCTTAGCTCTGTGTGCACCAATGTTTACATGCATGTATTAGTAAATGTATGTATGTATATATTATTATTATTATTATTATTATTATTATATTATTATTATTATTATTATTATTATTATTATTTATTATTATTATTATTATTATTATTATTATTAAATTATTATTATTTATATTATTATTATTATTATGATTATTAATTATTATTATTATTATTATTATTATTATTATTATTATCTATTATTATTATTATTATTATTATTAATTAGTATTATTATTATTATTATTATATATTATTTATATATCTTTGTATATACTTAATCATCAATGGACTTATAACACACCACAGCATCGATTCGTCGCGAATAAGTGTTGTAGAAAGCCGTTTCTATGGCCTTTATCTTCCTGTTCAACAATATACCATTATCCTCCAGATCAAGGCCTTCATCATGGCAATGATGTGGTCGTAGACACAACCACCTGTTGGTATCATATAGTTGACAGGACCTGTTCCTACTCCCGCGTTCAGCATATTACAGGTCATAACGTCGCGCAAAAGTCTGCACCTCGCTGCCAGCACTGCCAATTCCATTGCTGTTCGTACTATCGTTGTTTAATTATTGTAAGATAATTGTGTACTTGGTGCCATTGCTGCTGCTGCTACTGTTGTGATTGCTAACTATATTAGCCATTTCTTGATCGGAATTGTTGCTGTTTGTGTGCGTTGTGTTTGTGAAGTTCCGTTTGTTTGCGTTCTCCACCAATGCCTGCTTATCCGTTCTATGCTACTGCCTCTGGCCGTAATTATGAATAATACTCGTAAATGTTCCTTTTTTTAAATAGGTGATGAATAGAGTTAAAATGCACAGATCTATGAGTACTTAATTAAAATATTTTTTTTTTTTTATAAAATAATACCGTGTGTTGGAGTGCGAATTTTCCCGATTTTCCATTCGTATAACTAATTTTAGTCCCAGATGCCTTATGTGAATACGCAGAAAATGTGTATTTTGGAAATTCCCTCCCTCCGCGGGGCCTCTAGAAATTGAGGCTCTAACCTACGTTTGGGCAGAGACACAAACTTATATTGACTATCGAACTCAGTTGAAAGTTGCTTAGTTAACTTTTGCAATTTTAAAAATTTATTTCGCACGTTATTACACACGTTAAATTGGATGACAATGCGTACAGGGCAGGACCACCTCAAACCACCACAGCCTTTTTTAGGTGAGTAAACTTTGTCGAAGTCACGCCACCTAATCGTGCACATTTAATATGCATAAAATTCTCGCACAACCAACACAAACCGAAGTTGATCAAAATCAATTGCATCTTTAATTGTGCAAGACATTGTAGGCAGAATAAATATAAGGATGAATGAGCTTCATTGTTTTTGCGACGAAGTGTCCTTTTGCCGCGGGGACCCGCCGCCCTGGAGCCTTTTCTCATTTCTTCGCGGACAAATAGTTCATGTGTTTTGTGGTTTCTTGGGCATTCCGAACTATCTCGGTCTCATCCTTGGTGCTTCCCTGGGCCTGTCAGTTCTCAGCATTCGGTTGGTGTATATGCGGCTGGGAACGTCGCGTGAAATTGCGATGACGCTGACGATATGATGCATTCGACTTTCCATCGTACATTTGTGATTTTGGTGATGAACTGCAACTATTTGACTCGTGCCCACTGGAGTTGTAGGCACAGTTCTTATCCTGATAAGAATTGTTTATGGACGTATTTTAGCGACGCCACGGTGAGTGATGTTGCTATTGCTGCTGCTTTTGGAACCGTGGTGACTTATCGTACGTATTACGATTGTGAAAGCGCCCTCCGCGCTTATAATTGCCAGGCTCATAATTGCTAATATATGGGCGTTCGCTGCGATCATCCCGTTGGTCCCAATTGGAGTTCACAATGCTGCTGTAATTGTTGCTGCCAAGATTCCTCTCATAACGTTCCTGGGAATGCTTACGACGATCGTGTATGGTATATAGACGTAAATTACCGCCATCGCTACGCACGATGTGGTGGTCGTCATCGAAGCTGGCGCTATAGCGACGTTGTTGGTTGCTCGAACGTCCGTTTTGATTATCACCATCGATGGGGCGATTAAAACGAGTCTTGCGCCAGCTAGGTGAAGGCTTAGTCTTATCACGATCTTCACTGTTTCCCACAGACGCGTATTGATCGAGTCCTTCGGAGCGGCTAATAATTTGAACAATAAAAATGTTATTTTTAAGAGAATGGTTTCCACAATCGCAACACTTACTCTTCATTGGCCACCTGAGGGTGTTTCAAAGGACGCGGTGATGTGCGCGGCTGATATGGGCGTCGGCTTTGGCGATTCACGCCTCCTTCGTTACTTGAATTTCTGTTGCTTTCTCGTGCTTGTTCGTGCTCGACTTGACTGTAAAGATCACCACTACCAATATCCGCCTCGCCAAAACCAATATCGCAGAGCGAATCTTCACAGACTTGCTCGATCCATTTCTCAAAAGAATCGTGGGTGGACTTATTTGTTTGGCTGGCATTATCAGTGTTACTTCTCCCATGTCCTTCTATATACGCACTTTGAGACTCTTGTTGCTGCTGGTACTGAGTCTGCGGCTGCACAGCTACACTATTGTTATTAATACCATCGTCTTCCGCACTCTCAGCAACCAGGTAGTCTGAGTACATTGCCTCCAACTCGAAGCCAATGTGCTTAAAATGGCTGTAGAACAAATCCAACACCATAAGCAGCATAGCTTTTACTTTAGGCGTTAGCACCGGTTGCATTATCAGGTGGCGTCTAATATGGTACAGTAGTTGGTCAATTTCTACCTTATGGCGCGAGCGCATTATCTCGCCATTAAGCGTAATCTGTGATAAAATCAAACGCGCCAATCGAGTATTTATTACCAATGAGGTGTCATTGATCTCCCTTGTAAGTAGATTGAGCAGCGATTCACCCAAAATTGTAATAGGTGCATTGTTGGCCAAACGAACGCGATGATAGTATTCGCCTAAAAGTGTTATGGAGTTGTACAGACGATTCTTGTCATGCTCTCGGTATGCGTCTGCATTGATGAAATTTGTCTCCAGGATCTTTAGCATAGCACTTCGGACCTTTGTCTCTTTCATAGCCAACGCATCGAAGTTCCGGGATGAAAAAAGTAGAGGCAAATTTCAGAGCAGTGTCTCCATCGCCTAATGCTTTATCGTTCATATACTCCATGGACTCAACTGCAATATAAAATAAGAAATTATTAAGTATACTATTTTTTTGAGGCATATAATATATATATATAACAAAACTAATATTGCTCACAATGAGATATGTATTTTTGAAAAAATGGTCTATACGGTATTTAAGAAAGTTGTAAATTGTGGTAACAGAAACATGCTTAGCTCTGTGTGCACCAATGTTTACATGCATGTATTAGTAAATGTAGGTATATATATTATTATTATTATTATTATTAGTATTATTATTATTATTATTATTATTATTATATATTATTATTATATATTATTATTATTATTATTATTATTTTATTATTATTATTATTATATTCTTATTATATTATTATTATTATTAATTATTATTATTATTATTATTATTATTATAGATTATTATTATTATTATTATATATTTATTATTATATTATTTCATCTTTTTATATATTAATCATCAATGGACTTATACACACCACAGCATCGATTCGTCGCGAATAATTTGTAGAAATCCGGTTCTATGGCCTTTATCTTCTGTTCAACAATATACCATCATCCTCCAGATCAAGGCCCTTCATCATGCATGATGTGGTCGTAGACACAACCACCTGTTGGTATCATATAGTTGACATGACCTGTTCTACTCCCGCGTTCAGCATATACAGGACATAACCGTCGCGCAAAGTCTGCACCTCGCTGCCAGCACTGCCAATTCCATGCTGTTCGTACTAGCGTTGTTTAAATTATTGGTAAGATATGTGTACTTGGTGCCATTGCTGCTGCTCCTATGTTGTGATTGCTAACTATATTAGCATTTCTGATCGGAATTGTTGCTGTTTGTGTGCGTTGTGTTTGTGAAGTTCCGTTTGTTTGCGTTCTCCACCAATGCCTGCTTATCCGTTCTATGCTACTGCCTCTGGCCGTAATTATGAATAATACTCGTAAATGTTCCTTTTTTTAAATAGGTGATGAATAGAGTTAAAATGCACAGATCTATGAGTACTTAATTAAAATATTTTTTTTTTTTATAAAATAATACCGTGTGTTGGAGTGCGAATTTTCCCGATTTTCCATTCGTATAACTAATTTTAGTCCCAGATGCCTTATGTGAATACGCAGAAAATGTGTATTTTGGAAATTCCCTCCCTCCGCGGGGCCTCTAGAAATTGAGGCTCTAACCTACGTTTGGGCAGAGACACAAACTTATATTGACTATCGAACTCAGTTGAAAGTTGCTTAGTTAACTTTTGCAATTTTAAAAATTTATTTCGCACGTTATTACACACGTTAAATTGGATGACAATGCGTACAGGGCAGGACCACCTCAAACCACCACAGCCTTTTTTAGGTGAGTAAACTTTGTCGAAGTCACGCCACCTAATCGTGCACATTTAATATGCATAAAATTCTCGCACAACCAACACAAACCGAAGTTGATCAAAATCAATTGCATCTTTAATTGTGCAAGACATTGTAGGCAGAATAAATATAAGGATGAATGAGCTTCATTGTTTTTGCGACGAAGTGTCCTTTTGCCGCGGGGACCCGCCGCCCTGGAGCCTTTTCTCATTTCTTCGCGGACAAATAGTTCATGTGTTTTGTGGTTTCTTGGGCATTCCGAACTATCTCGGTCTCATCCTTGGTGCTTCCCTGGGCCTGTCAGTTCTCAGCATTCGGTTGGTGTATATGCGGCTGGGAACGTCGCGTGAAATTGCGATGACGCTGACGATATGATGCATTCGACTTTCCATCGTACATTTGTGATTTTGGTGATGAACTGCAACTATTTGACTCGTGCCCACTGGAGTTGTAGGCACAGTTCTTATCCTGATAAGAATTGTTTATGGACGTATTTTAGCGACGCCGCTGTGAATCTTCTGATTGTCTTTATTTTGGTGCCCATGAGGTGAGTGATGTTGCTATTGCTGCTGCTTTTGGAACCGTGGTGACTTATCGTACGTATTACGATTGTGAAAGCGCCCTCCGCGCTTATAATTGCCAGGCTCATAATTGCTAATATATGGGCGTTCGCTGCGATCATCCCGTTGGTCCCAATTGGAGTTCACAATGCTGCTGTAATTGTTGCTGCCAAGATTCCCTCTCATAACGTTCCTGGGAATGCTTACGACGATCGTGTATGGTATATAGACGTAAATTACCGCCATCGCTACGCACGATGTGGTGGTCGTCATCGAAGCTGGCGCTATAGCGACGTTGTTGGTTGCTCGAACGTCCGTTTTGATTATCACCATCGATGGGGCGATTAAAACGAGTCTTGCGCCAGCTAGGTGAAGGCTTAGTCTTATCACGATCTTCACTGTTTCCCACAGACGCGTATTGATCGAGTCCTTCGGAGCGGCTAATAATTTGAACAATAAAAATGTTATTTTTAAGAGAATGGTTTCCACAATCGCAACACTTACTCTTCATTGGCCACCTGAGGGTGTTTCAAAGGACGCGGTGATGTGCGCGGCTGATATGGGCGTCGGCTTTGGCGATTCACGCCTCCTTCGTTACTTGAATTTCTGTTGCTTTCTCGTGCTTGTTTCGTGCTCGACTTGACTGTAAAGATCACCACTACCAATATCCGCCTCGCCAAACCAATATCGCAGAGCGAATCTTCACAGACTTGCTCGATCCATTTCTCAAAAGAATCGTGGGGTGGACTTATTTGTTTGGCTGGCATTATCAGTGTTACTTCTCCCATGTCCTTCTATATACGCACTTTGAGACTCTTGTTGCTGCTGGTACTGAGTCTGCGGCTGCACAGCTACACTATTGTTATTAATACCATCGTCTTCCGCACTCTCAGCAACCAGGTAGTCTGAGTACATTGCCTCCAACTCGAAGCCAATGTGCTTAAAATGGCTGTAGAACAAATCCAACACCATAAGCAGCATAGCTTTTACTTTAGGCGTTAGCACCGGCTTGCATTATCAGGTGGCGTCTAATATGGTACAGTAGTTGGTCAATTTCTACCTTATGGCGCGAGCGCATTATCTCGCCATTAAGCGTAATCTGTGATAAAATCAAACGCGCCAATCGAGTATTTATTACCAATGAGGTGTCATTGATCTCCCTTGTAAGTAGATTGAGCAGCGATTCACCCAAAATTGTAATAGGTGCATTGTTGGCCACAACGAACGCGATGATAGTATTCGCCTAAAGTGTTATGGAGTTGTACAGACGATTCTTGTCATGCTCTCGGTATGCGTCTGCATTGATGAAATTTGTCTCCAGGATCTTTAGCATAGCACTTCGGACCTTTGTCTCTTTCATAGCCAACGCATCGAAGTTCCGGGATGAAAAAGTAGAGCAATTTCAGAGCAGTGTCTCCATCGCCTAATGCTTTATCGTTCATATACTCCATGGACTCACTGCAATATAAATAAGAAAATTATTAATATACTATTTTTTTGAGGCATATAATATATATATAACAAACTAATATTGCTCACAATGAGATATTGTATTTTTGAAAAAATGGTCTATACGGTATTTAAGAAAGTTGTAAATTGTGGTAACAGAAACATGCTTAGCTCTGGTGTGCACCAATGTTTACAGGGCATGTATTAGTAAATGTATGTATCTATTATTATATTCTTATTATTATTATTCTTATTAGTATTATTTATTATTATTATTATTATTATTATTATTATTATATTATTATTATTATGATTTTATTATTATTATTATTATATGATTATTATTATTATTATTATTATTATTATTATATTATTATTACTTATTTATTATTATATTATTATTATTATTATATTATATTATTATATTATTATTATTCTTATTATTATATTATTATTATTATTATTATATTATTTATATATCTTTTTATATATTAATCATCAATGGACTTATACACCCCACAGCATCGCTTCGTCGCGAATAATGTTGTAGAAATCCGTTTCTATGGCCTTTATCTTCCTGTTCAACCAATATACCATCATCCTCCAGATCAAGGCCCTTCATCATGGCAATGATGTGGTCGTAGACACAACCCACCTGTTGGTATCATATAGTTGACAGGACCTGTTCCTACTCCCGCGTTCAGCATATTACAGGTACATACGTCGCGCAAAGTCTGCACCTCGCTGCCAGCACTGCCAATTCCATTGCTGTTCGTACTAGCGTTGTTTAAATTATTGTAAGATATTGTGTACTTGGTGCCATTGCTGCTGCTGCTACTGTTGTGATTGCTAACTATATTCGCCATTTCTTGATCGGAATTGTTGCTGTTTGTGTGCGTTGTGTTTGTGAAGTTCCGTTTGTTTGCGTTCTCCAACAATGCCTGCTTATCCGTTCTATGCTACTGCCTCTGGCCGTAATTATGAATAATACTCGTAAATGTTCCTTTTTTAAATAGGTGATGAATAGAGTTAAATGCACAGATCTATGAGTACTTAATTAAAATATTTTTTTTTTTTTATAAAATAATACCGTGTGTTGGAGTGCGAATTTTCCCGATTTTTCCATTCGTATAACTAATTTTAGTCCCAGATGCCTTATGTGAATACGCAGAAAATGTGTATTTTGGAAATTCCCTCCCTCCGCGGGGCCTCTAGAAATTGAGGCTCTAACCTACGTTTGGGCAGAGACACAAACTTATATTGACTATCGAACTCAGTTGAAAGTTGCTTAGTTAACTTTTGCAATTTTAAAAATTTATTTCGCACATTATTACACACGTTTAAATTGGATGACAATGCGTACAGGGCAGGACCACCTCAAACCACCACAGCCTTTTTTAGGTGAGTAAACTTTGTCGAAGTCACGCCACCTAATCGTGCACATTTAATATGCATAAAATTCTCGCACAACCAACACAAACCGAAGTTGATCAAAATCAATTGCATCTTTAATTGTGCAAGACATTGTAGGCAGAATAAATATAAGGATGAATGAGCTTCATTGTTTTT